CAAAATAAACCTCTTTTCTTTATAACATACTCAGTCTGTGGTTCTGTGCAGGTGCTTATGCTGCTATTAGCAATAGAAAATGAACTAAGACGTATTTCCATGGTTCCTATTTTCAGTCTCCAGTAAGTTTACTTGTCTCCTGCTTGCCTGACTAGTTTAAAATCTTTACAATAGCTCCCTACCAATTTCTATTACCATTTAGAGAAATGTTAGCTGTTGTGGCAAAACAAAACAAAACCCTCAAACATATCACAATAAAAGTTCACTTCTTGTTCACATAACAGTTCAGCATAGGTGCTTTTGGTCAGGATTCCTGATCAGGGCAAAGGAGGATCTTTTGCCACATGGCCACTTAGGAATCCATCCTTTTTCTTGATATCAAAATCCAGACAGCATGTACAAGACCTGAAGGAGAACCACATGTGGGAGGTTTCTGTGGGCCATGCCCTGAATTGATGCTATCATTTTTGTTCATGCTGCACTGACTGTTGGCATTTAAATACAATAGGAGTGTGCATCTTCCAGGAAATGTCCTTGAAGAAGACATACTAGTATTATAAGAACTGTAGGGGCTGGAGATTTAGCTCAGCCTGCCCTGCAAGTAGGCAGTCATGAGTTCAATCCCCGGTACTGATAAAAAGGAAAAAGACAAAAAAAAAAAAAAAAAAGAACTGTGGAATTATTCACAGCAAGTAGTCTTGGCACATGTCTTGCAATTTCATTTGAGAGGTAAAACACTTAGGGTTCATCCATAAATTCAGATCATTTCAGAAAGTTTTATAGAACATACAGTAATGTCAGGTGTCAGACTAGATACAAAAGATAAAAGGAGGATTAGCAAACCACACTTGCCTTTTAGGAACTTACATCATAGGTCTGGGTAAATACTGAAACCTGCTACTTCAACTTCACTTCACTACCCTATTAAAAGAAGTTGGAAAGCTGAAAATTACCTTCCTCTGACTCCCTTGCCACTCGAGTTCTGGATAGAAATAAGTTCTGCCAACAAGTTGTATTCATTTTTTTTTTTTTTTTTTTTTTTTTGGTACTGGGGATTGAACTCACAATCGTGCACTTGCAAGGCAGGTGCTTATGCTGCTGAGCTAAATCCCCAGCCCCAAGTTGTATTCATTTTTAAATGGGCACAAGTGAATCAAGGCTGTCTTCCTGCATTCATGACCACCTGGAAGCCAAATGTAATGACATGTGTGTAACATGCAGACTCCTTATAACCTTCAATGTTATGAGAGCCACTGGTGGTGGTAGCTGTCATACCAGTGTCTGCTGTCACCTTCCTATCTCAGTTACATTCTAGTCAGAATAAGCTAGCTATGTGCTGTAGTGATAAGTAATCCCCACATTTCAGTGTCCCAATACTATATGTTTCTCATTCTAAAGTCTTTACTGCAGACAGGAGCCACTGTTCCCCCATGTGATCACTCAGAAAACAACTGTTTCGATTTTGTGAATAATACATTTTAACCCAAGGCCTCCTCCATAACTATCATGGCAAGGAAGATTTGTTCAAAGGCTTATCTCTGCCTCATTTTGAAGTGACACATTACTTCTCACATATTGCCCAGAACTACCTAACTACAAGTATACTGGAAAAGGTAAACTTCTATATGCCAGGAAGTAAAGGAGGACCATTTAGGTTTATCCTAAATGATATGATTTGGAATTCATATCCACCCCTTCCAAGGATTTCAGAAGCACTGAAGTGTTGTATGAAATTCCCTTGTTTCTGGATTTCTACCAAATCTAGATGTGTAGCTAGTAGTTTTCTATCCCTTCATTTTCATCTCTTCTCACCATCGTGTGTTTATGACACTGTTCTCGAGGAACCACATCTTTCGATCTCTGTTGCTCTCTGCTTTGGTCGGATCACAGAGGCACAGATGGGTCAGAAATTAGAAGGTAAGGGGAATCAGGCTATTTATCCCTGCCTCCTTCCAACTCCCTGGCAAACTGTGGGGCTCTGACACCTGCCCTCCTCATAATCTTTTCATTAAATTTTCCTCATGTGAACCCTTTTGAATATGATGTCTGTGTCTGCCTTGATCCTGACGTACACCAAATGTCTAATAATTGAATTGTGACTCTAAAAAAGAGTACCAGACTATCAACCATCTTTCAGTTTTACTATAGCTGGAGATGTTTATAAAATACAAATCTGAATATACACTTCTGTTTTAAAACTTCAGTGGCTTCCATCTATACCCCTTTCATCACACCCCACTTTAAATTGCAGCCAGACAAAACTAATTTCAGTTCCCTCTGCAAAACGGTCTCTCTTCCTCTGAGCTTCTGCATGCACAGAATAGAAATATAGCTGTCCACCCCCATTCTCATCACTCAAGCCTCAGCTCAAATGCCACTTACCCAGAAAGCCTTTCATAAACCTACTTAACCTAGATAAATGGTGTTATATTCTCCCACAGAAATCTCTATTTGTATAATCGATAGCACTCAATTTTATATTGTACTGCAATTGTCTGCTTACTTATCTGTGTCTTCCAATAGATCATAAGATCTAGGGCTGGGACGGCAGCTCAGGTCTATAAGAACTATTAAGGTGCTTGGCACAGAACAGGCACTCAATAAATATTGAATTATTCCTGAATATCTCCTGCAGCTATAGTTTTCTCTTTTTATTCACTGACAAAAGTCATGAAAAATATTTTTCTAGCCACCCACCACTCATTATTACTACCTTTCATTCACTACCTAAGCCATTTCATTCTTTCTTTGCCACTATCATTTAGCAAGATTTCTCTTGCTGAGACCACTAATAACCTAGATTATCAATTCTGTAGCTTCCTTCCAAATCCCCTGCACTTGCTCATTAGCACTTTTTTGAAACCAGCTTCTCTGCCCACTCATAGATCATATTTTGTTCACTTCTCGTTCTTTCCCTCTCTCCCTCCTCTTTCTGACTTGCTTGCATGTTTTCTTCCACACATTTCTATGCCTGTGTGTCTTGTTCATTTACATCCAGTACCCAGCACAGTGTCTGGCACACAGTAAGTCTTAGTAACTAAGAATGTTAAATGGTTGAATTCTCTCTTGGCTTCAAAGGCCATTTCTTGACCATCTCTCCATCTACCGTCTCTCTGACAGCTCATTCTTGGGAATCTTCAAAACTGCTTCTTCCTTCAACTATCCATTAAATATTCTTCAGAGCAACTCATTTTATCTGCCTTTTGAGCTCCATCCATCAACGAATACCACAATTCCCAAGCGCATATTTTCAATCTTAGCAACAGACAACAGCTAAGGCTCCGATCTTCCTTTTCCTGCCTTCTCCTGCGCTGCCCTGTCCCGTCCCTGGAGCTCTCTCCCTGCCCCAAGCATTTTAGATAGACTCACTGTCTCCTCCATTTCAACTTGCCCTGCTTCTGTTTCCCAGTTGTCCAAACTACATTCCTCAAGCTTCATCCGGTACCAAATCTTTCCAACTAAAACCTGCTTCTGGTTTTTTATTTCTCCTCTTTCCTTCACCTGCAACACCTTTCCCCATGTTGTCCCAAATTCTACATATTCTTTGAAATCCAGAAAATTGGTTCGCTTTAATTCATTGCCTACTCTTCTGTGTTCTGCTTAGCTTGATGTTACGTGGTTTTTGTTTTGTTTTTTGTTATGATAAAGCAAAAAAATATCTTCTTCACTAGATGGCAAAATTCTTACAGGCAATTATTATTTGTTGATCACTGGTTCTACTCTGGCTAGTGATCAACATTTTAGGCAGTTAATATATACTTTTATACGAATAAATGAGTGAGAATCTTTTCAATTGTCTTTTCAAAAATTAGTGCAAGAGACTCCTTTGAGTTAAAAAGACCAGACTTTAACAAGACAAACGGGCCTATGGCACATGCCTGTAGACCCAGCTGCCTGAGAGGCTAAAGCCTGAGAATCACAAGTTTGAGGCCAGCCTGGAAAATTTAATAAGACTTTGTCTCAAAGCAAAAGTGCAAGGTTGGCCTCTGGGGTGTAGCTCTTTTGGCAAACGCATGCATGAGCCCTGGGTTCAATCCCCAGTACTTGCAAAGTGAACAAATAAAACATGAACATTATGAAACTAAGTCATACACATTGAACAGTAGATCGTGCATATGCCTACAGAAAGCAAGTAACTGCTATTCATCTAGGGAGATTTTTTTTTTAAAGCCTGCCCTGCAAATTTTGCATTTAAGCGTTTCAGTTCTTTATATAGACAAGTTATTAAAAGGGAAGATATTTTTACTTTGCTCTGTGCTCTATTATCTTTTATCCTGGGTGACAAAGATTAGAAAGGGTGTCAACATGAGACACTGCCTGAGCAGTGCCTTGCATAGGCACTCGGTTGGCCCTCAGCACTTTAATTCCTTTCTTTTTTTTCTATCTTACTTTCATTTTACATTTGAAGTCTCATGAATTTAGTAAAGGAAATTCTAGTTCTGGGATCTGTTTGACCCAAACAACCTAGTACAACCCGTTTGCATTGTTAAACCAAAATCCAGGGAAAGAAATCACTAGAAAGGGGAGGAGAGAGGCGGTGCAAGAAAGCTGAAAGGAAAGGCTCAGAGGAAGCTGCTGAAGGAAGCTTTTTTCGCCGCGTTTGTCTTTTTTTAACCCGAGAGGCGTGACTCGTTGCTAACCGCCGCTGTGCGTTAGTTTCCCCAGCCAGACGCCCTCCCGCCCCCAGTTGCCCCGCCCTCCCGTGACTCCCGCTTCCGCCCCGCGGTACACTGCCGACTGCGGCAGCTGGGGGCGCCCCGCGCCGAGCCGCCGGGGCCGCCACGGTTCTCTCCGCTTCCCCGTTCTCCGCTCGCAGACGGGAGGCGGCGGCGGCGACGAGCGCGCACCGAGAGGGCGCCCACTCCGCGGTCGAGCTGCAGAGCGACCGCTCCCCGCGTGCGGCCGGGGTCCGCGCCGCCGCCGCCGCGCCCCAGCCCGGGCTGCTGCGAGAGGCGACGGCAGCGGCCCCGGCCCCGCTCCCGGCCACAGCCCCGGCCCCGGCCGGCCCGCGGCGCCCCCCGGCCGCACCCCCGCGCGGAGCTCGCGGCCCGGACCATGGGGCTGGGCGGATCCGGGGCTCGGCCGAGCTGAGGCGGCGGCGCCCGCCCGCGCTGTCCGCTCGCCGGCGCCTGGCTCTCACGATGATGAAGAAGAAGAAGTTTAAGTTTAAGGTGGACTTCGAGCTCGAGGAGCTCTCCTCGGTGCCCTTCGTCAATGGGGTCCTCTTCTGCAAGATGCGGCTGCTGGACGGCGGCAGCTTCACCGCGGAGTCGTCCAGGTACCGCGCGCCGCCCCTCCCGAGCTGCTGCGCCCTCGCCGGGCTCGTGGGCTGGGCAGCGCCCCTCGCGTCGGCCCCTTTGCAGCAGCGCGCCCAGCCCCGGAGCTTGTCGTCCTCAGGGACCCCTGTAGGGTCAGTCGGTCAGGAGTGCATTGATCTGCACAAAGTGCTTGGCAGATGGGTTCGTCAGGGCTGCCCGCGGCTCTAGCGCTGGTGACTTCCAGATGGTTCCTGCTGCTTGCTCTTTCCACCCAATTTCCCCGGAATGGTAGCAGTGGCCATGGTGGAGAGGATGCATCTGGTTTCCCATAAGACATCCTCATATATGTGAGATATAAAGTGGAACCTGAGCTTTTGTTAAAGACAGAAATAACCCCAACCGCTCGAATAGAGCGCCCACACTGAACCATCTGTGCGTGGCGTAACTCCCTCTGCGCCTGGCTTAGGCGCCCAGGATGGGGCTGGGCTGGCCTGGTCAGCTTGACTTGAGCCCGATGTTCTAGCAGATGAGGCTCACTCAGTCTGTGCCATGAGAGAGCTCTGTCTCCAGCTAGGGGCTCTTACTGAATTAACCTCTTGACGTGGCCACTAATGGGTCTCAGTGTGGAGGACTTAGAACGACAGAAGGTGCCCACGCCTTGCCCTCATTTCGAATTCAGCCCTAGGTACTCTCCAGGAAGAAACCTTGGCAGGTTACAGAACGCCGCCAGGTGTGATCCGTGTTGAGCAATTGCAGGGCTATTCCCAGGTTGACAGATTTGCCCTAATGTGATTTTCTTGTCAAGAAAATAGAAAATTTAAAGAATTGTTTTTAATGAACTTTTGAGTTCATCAGACTAAAGAAAAAGATTAATAGTTCTTATTTTGCTTTTCTCTATATATACTGATCACTGACTGTGTTTTTGTGCTAAAAATATTCTGATTTCTTTTTATCTGTCATCCCACTAATAAAGGAAATAGTGTCAATGGGTTGGTTGGGCCCATCAATATCAGTAGGCCATAAAATTGCCCACCGAGGCCCTACAGAAAGCTATAGAAGCCGGAAAATGTCTTGTTGGCTAGTATTAGGCACTATTCTTGAAATTTTTAAAGAAAAAGTCTATTCAGGGTAATTTTAAAAGTTAAACTGATGACCAATCTATAGATATTTAGGTAATCTCATGCAATCATTTTAACACACATGTAAGAAAACAAATGATGTGAAGTAATGCTGTGCTTAAGATCTTGAAAAGCGTAAATCAATTCTGAATGTCACTTGGTAAGAGAAGGTGACTGAACTACCTGAGGGTTAGACTGTTAGTTGTTACAGGGCCATACTCCCCACCTGAAGCAGTTAGACCAGGGCTCCCGACCCAGTGGTGACACCTGGTGGTTAGGACACTTGTCTGCTCTGCACTCCTTTTCGCTGACCCAGCCTACTTCCCACATGTCAGTTACTCAGCCATTTCAGGCAATCATTTATTCAGCAAACATATCCACTGGGCCTTTTAAATATACTCTTTTATTTAATTCTCATAGCATGGGATAGGGAATCCACATTTTGGGGCAAATAAATTGAGGCATTGGAAGCATCACTAACTTTCCCAGCTGATATGTATAGTGCCATGGTTCTGATACAGATCTAACTTCAAACAAGATGATTCCAGATAAAGGAAAAATGTGCGCTATGGTGAAAGGCTTCTGAATAGGCAACTTCCTAAGGGTTTTAAGGTACAAGGGATATAACTTGATCTGTGGTCTTCAAAGACTAGGAAGTGAAAAAGTTAAACTTACCCCTTTCTCTTACAATTAAAATCTGGCTTTAATCAAGGCAAAAGAGGTTAAGAATGGTGCTTTGTATCGCCAGGCAAACAAAAGGGTGCTGAGGTTTGAGGGAAATGATTCATAGTAAGGACCATGTGCCTTTGAAATGGGATAGAGAGTAAGTGTAAAGCCCAGAGCAAGGGTCTGGTGTATTAGCCAGCTTTTTGTCACTATTGAAAAAATACCTGCGCTTAAAGTAGGAAAGATTTTCATAGGGTTATCAAAACATGATGAACGTATAAATTTTAAAACTTAGTACAGTAAAAAACACAGACACACAATGCCACTAATCCCCCTCAAAATACTCCCTTTTGCATTGAACACACTTACCCCACCATTTTGGTTACTTTCTGATGCAGTTATGGAAGTCCTCTTTCTTGAGTGTCTTACAAGATGTGACCAAAAGTATGATCAAGGCAGCTGCTGAGTGCCATCCAGCACAAAGACAGGCATCATAAAAATATGGTGTGTTCTCATCCACCATATTCACCAGATCTGGCAACATGCAACTTTTGGCTGTTCCCCAAAGTAAAAATGACCGTAAAAGGTAAACATTCTGAATTGAATCAGGGTACCAGGGTAGCCACAGCAGTGTAACTAAAGACAATCACAAAAGGATTTCCGGAAAGTGACAAAAATGATGATATACTGTTCGAAGCAAAAAGAAATATTTTGAGTGGTATTAGTGGAATGCACCTTTTACTGTGATGATTTTTTTAAATTTAAACATTCGTTTTTGATCATACCGCATATTTTGGCTCATAGTTTTGGAGGTTTCAGTCTAAGGCTGAACATCATTCCTTGGGCCTGACACAAGGCTGAACATCATGCCAGAGAATGTGTGGTGGAGCAGAACTGTTCATGTAACGGCCAACAGCAGAGAAAGCAGGAGTGTCCAGGAACAAAATGTCGCCTTCAGTGGCATCCCCCAAGTGACACTCTTTCAGCCAGGCCTCACCTCCTAAGTTTCCATCATCTCCCAATTGTACCCCAGATGGGGACCAAACGTTCAGCACAAAAGCCTTTGGGAGTCCTTCCAAATCCAAATGATAACAAATCGCTCTGAGTCTAAATCCTAATCCCACCATGGTAAAATTGCATAGGGTACTTAGGCTTTTAAAGCTAAAACCTGTAAAATTGAAACATTCACAGGCATATGGTATTGCTTTGAGGATCTAGAAGGATGTTGTACTTGAATCACTTAACAGTGCTTTGGCACCCAGATAGTATTTAAGGAGAAGAGACAAAAAAAATTGGTTCAACAATAGCTGTTTGCTTTAGATGTTATGTTTAATTCTTTTAACTTGACAAAGTACAAAAATGTTGATTTAAGAAAGATACAATACCCCATTTTACAAGGAAAAAAGAAGAAAAAAGAAAACCTAGAATAGCAAAAGGAAGTGAATTATTTCAAAATTGCACAACTGTTAACTAGTGAATACCTACCCTGGCAGCATATCTCTGTTAGATTTGAATTCTTATCAAAATTACTGTAGGAAACTCTTAAATCAGAGATAGTCAAACTGTAACATGTCTCCCATGAAAATATGAAATGAATTACATGTAAAAAAATTAGCAAAATAGGCTCAAGAAAGCCTTTTATTTACCAGCTTGCCCTTGGCTTCTGTCTGGAAACCTGGATGGTGAAATGTTCTATGTATGACATGAAACTTTACCAAAGTGACAGATGGCTCACTATGCCTATGTTGCAGTGTGGTTCATGCCAAACACCTTCTGAGAGTGTGTCTAGGTGACCAGTCATAATAAAAAAGCACAAAGTCTCTGAAAGGTTTCCCTAGTAGATGGTGTCACAATTTGATGCTAGAGAAATTGTGTACTGATTCTGTTTTATGTTCAACTGCTGTAGTAATCCGAGCCATGAGTACAACTATGTGTTGAATCCTATGAGTCCTTCTTGAGGATCAGTAAACACAAGGGTGATCTTAGGAACCCCCATACATGAACTTATATAAAATAATATAAAGTAATATTTGTTTTGTTAGAAAAAAGTCTTAGAAACATGTAGAAAATTGCACAGATACACACGCGCGCGCGTGCTTTGTATAGAGTATGCTTTGTATAAAAACTAAAAAAGCACGTGGTTCACTGTTCACCAAACATCGAGCATTTGCCATGTATTTCTGTCAGGTGCTATAATTACAGCAAATGTAAGGGCCCACAAGGGCAGTATCTTTACTTAATTGAAGTAGATCATAGGTGTATAATTGTTTGACAGTAGGAGACAGTATGAATTACTGGCTAATGGGCAGGTCTGACACTGTGTAAGTGTTGAAATTTTAAAGGAAAAGAGTTTATTTACAGCCATAAAGGTTACTGAAAACCATATTAGCATTTCGGTTGAGCACACTGAAAGAATGCATTTGCATTGACAAGAAGGCAAAGTGGGAGGACGGCTTGAGCAAGACATTAATAGAGTTGGTGCTAGATCAGCGTGATTGCAGAGTCCACTTTGAACAGAAGCAGAAGATAAGATTAGAAAAGGGCTTTGAATGCCTTTAGAAAGAGTTTGCTTTCCATTGTTCATTAGGTAAAATTTAATCTAAGGTTTTTGAACTGAGTTGTAATGTAATTAAAATGATATTTAAGATGATTTTCAGGCTGATGCTATTTGGACTCAAGTGGTAATAGATTAAAGATGGAGAGACAAATTAGGAGAGTATTAAAATAACCGAGGCCGGAACTAACGAGAAACTTAACTCAGGTTTCTCATGTTAATAGACCGATGTGCTGTGGTCAGTGTCTTGATGTCACAACAGTAGTTAGAATGTCAAGAAAATTTTTGGTTTGGTTTTGTTTAAGGGAAATTTTGCATATGGTAATAGAGGCTATGAAGAGTTTTAAGTTGTGTGCTTAACATACCACATTTAAGTTGACAGCCTGGTAAGTGGTTGGAGACACATTTATGGTGGTGTGTGGCTTTTTTTACATTCTCATCTGTTGAAACCATACATCTTGCTTATTTTGCATTTAGAATTTCCTTAGACCATTTTGCCCTTGTACAGATTATTAGTTAAAATTAAGTTTAGAGGAATCCAGCTTTTCCTGAGTTTTGTCCAATGAAGAGGTAAGAAAATTAATGAAAACTGAAAGATGCTTATTGGTAATAAATTATGACCTCACGTACCGTATGACATTTGAGAAATACATTGTACAATTAAGAGAGGTCTACACTGAAG